TGAAGGCACCCCCACCAGTGATAGTGGTGCTGGTAAGAGCAGGCACCACTACCACCTGGGGAGAGGCTCCATCTATTGGTGGGGAGCATCACCTTTTGTGATTTGCTGCCACTATGTGACGGGGCTGGAATTGCACTGCGAGCCCAAAAAACGACGGACTGGCACACAGCCTCCTTTTGGCTGGTGCCACCAGCCATTTTGCTCCAGAAACCAAGCCCTGGAAGTTGCGGCTGCATGCACGTCGCAACAGTTCCTTTGGAAAAATAAAAAATGGCTGGGAAACGTACTGATGGTTTAACTGGGCGCAATGAAAAAAAAAAAAAAAAAAAAAGGGCCCCATGCCAGAGACAAGGGAAAAAAAGAAACAGAAACAAAGAAACAGAGGGGACTCGCCCGATTCCTGGCACTGAAATATAAGGGACGCCGGGCCCAGTTCCTGGTTGTTTAAAAAGAAAAAAGAAAAAAAAGAAAAAAAAGAAAAAGAAAGCAATGCTCTTGGTTCAATTTGGTTGTTTTTTTTTTACCTTGCACCCCCCTCCCCCCCCCCATTGCCCGATTCGCCCCCTCAGTTCAAGTTGGCTGACAAACAAGGCTTGGTCTTTACCAAGCCCCCGGCGACATAAGAGGGATGGCTCCTCGCGAAACAGAGTCAGATGGGACCTAAAATATGACCCCCTGTGGATCACAATGTTGGGCCTGTGGAGGAAGATGGGCTCGACCCAAAAGGCCCTCCCAAATATGGCAGAAGAAATTTTGCGACAACCATTGTTTAGGAACCCGCACATTTGTGACAATGCTGGCCAGCCCTTCGCCCTGTCCACCGACTCCCACTGGATCGCATGTGTAAGAAAAGGCATATTCGCAATTGGGGATCTGTGGGACTGCCAGACAGGGACGTGGAGGTCTGCACAGCAACTGCAGTCAAATCTTAAAGCAGTACGAAATATTCACGACAAACTCAAACAGCTTCGCGAGGCGGTCCCGTCCCCGTGGGTGGCTGCCTTACGGGACGGCCCGTCGTTGCGCAGCCTAGACTGGGTCACCCGGGCCAGCACAAACCCCATCACCACGACCATTTTTAGGGTGGTCCACAATACACAAGCAGGTGTGAAAACGCACCCATACGAACCTGAGGTACCGGGGACGAGGTGGGCAGCCCTGAAAAGCGTCCCGAACTTGGACTGCACGATTGCGGCTGATGAGCTCACCAGAATCAGACTGGTGGGGACAGAAGATACAGGCTACTATGCCTACGAAATGTCCATCCCAATATATGTACTTCCCTTCGACCCGGAAGAGTGGGAATGGGGGTTCAAAACCCAACCCCCATCTGGCAATACACAGCAAAAGAGGGCTATAAGCGGGCCCATGACCTACACCCATCCACACAGATAGTTCAACACAGATGGAAGAAGGATTCCCCGGTAGAACAGGAAAGCTTGCGACATATTCCATGGACAACCTATGCACACATAATGCCCACCTCCCACAGAGCATTGCAATGGCAAATGATGCACCGCTGCCTCCCGACTCCAGATTGGGTGACCTCCAGATCTAGCCTAGAACAAGCAGACATCCTGTCCCCTATCTGGTCCCAATGCAGGCCTGTGATAAGCCAGGATCCGTACTCAGCGGCTTCCCGTACCCTTAACGGAAAATCCCACGTAAAGCCCCGATGTACGGATTCA